AAAACCTTTAGTAACTTTATTGGCTGACAGGTCGATCAGCATTTTCAAAGAGTGATTGAGAATATACTTATCAAAGCTAGAGTTTTATAATCTCATCTGGTTTCATCATTCATGATATAGGGAAAAAAAATCAAAGCATGCCCATGATCTTAGGAAGACCATCCTTAGCAACCGGACGTATATTAATAGATTTTGAAAATGTGAAATAATCATAAGAGCAGAAGATAAACAACAAAATTTTCATCATAAATGCTCTACCGAAGTAATTTGCCTACCTCGAATGTAAAATGGATTGATCATAAAGGGAATGATGATTGTGGAAATCATCGGTACAAAAAATTGAGTTGATGTATTGGTTGGAGTAATCAAAGACCAATATAAGAACATGAAAGTTAGCAGGACCAAAGATGAAGAAAGAAATATCTGCCAATGCAGTCATTGTAACTTTATTTTCAAGCTACCATAATAGCCAAAAGAACAAAGTCACGCTTATAACTATATATAAGCTTATTGGGAGACAATTTAGTTTCTTTCATTTTATTTATTATGCTTTTTAGATAATAGGATTAGCAAATTTTATTCCTATTGTGTGTTTGGTAGTAGTTTAGGTATCTTCATCCCCATATTGTTCTAGAGTTGTGATGTGTTTGAAATAGATATGAAATTGTTTCATATTATTCGAGTATTGATTTCTCCTTATTTTAATATGATAACTGAAAACACACAAAGTAACATTGGACAAGGAAAATAATTCACTAAAATAGATCATCCAACTCCGATAATTTCGTTTGAAATTCGCATCTACTATCAAACATACATTTGGATAGTAACTTATTTCCTTCTTTGCCCTCTAGTGTTCATTGATAATATTTTAGAATATTAAAGGCAATGTATGATTTAAGTTTGGAAGTGGAAAAAACATTGAATTTTATTAGTTTTATGTGTTTGTGTGAAATATATATTGTATAATACCAGAGCAAAAAAATTTCAATATGCATTCAATCAAAAATATTTTTACATCATCATACCCATTACAAAATATATTCTAAGCTCAATGAAACTAATTTAGAGCAGAGGGCTTGAGAGCTTGTTGGAGCCCTCAGGGTCTAATTCTATCTCATCATCTTTGATCTCAACTTTATTATCGGGCGTTGCTTCCTCAGACTCACACAACTCAGGATGACCCGAAGCCTCAAGGATAGTCTTCAGTTCTTTAGGTTGAACCTCGAGCAAATTTACCCGAAGGAAGGCTCGGGCCCATCACATAGTCGACCTCAACCTCTTAAATTCCTCAAACATTTTGAAGTCCTCGATAGCTTTTCATGGGCCTCCTCGAGTTACGCCTTGAACTTTTTCTACTTTTGCTTAAGCTTCATGTTTTTAATTTTATCTCTTCACACTTGAGCTGGAGTTTGGTGCCCTTCAACTCGACTTTAGCTTCTCATGCTCCTTCCACAAGGTATTATACTTAGCCTCGAGCTTGGCTATTCTTTTTATCCCAATATTCCACTAGCTTTGTAAGCTCGACCGTTTTGTTGGATTTGTCCACCCCCTTAAGGGTAAGGCCTCAAAAAATGCTGAGAGCCCAAAAAATAATGAAAACATCATGAGCACACTTCGAGGCTTAAATATAGGAAAAAATTACAAATCATATAATAGTTAAAGCTCAAGCTTTGTCTTCAAAGTCATGGTCTCAAGAGCCTTTAAACCATCATCGAACTTCACACTGGCCTATTTTCAACAATGATTAGACTAGTATGCATTACTGGTTATCCTTAAACAAGAAAGAAGCTAGAGGGATGAGATCCTCCTTAATGTCCAAGACCTTAGATGTGGCCCAAGGTAGTTTATACTGATGAGTACTTCCCTAGGGTGATGAAGCCCCAATGATCGGGTTTGCATCCCTGGTGTTTGACATCAACCCTCTACAAGTAACCTCGAGGTGCTTTCATGTGGCCTCTTTTTTCATTTCTTCTGGTTTGGGGCCCTCACTTAGAGAGCTCTAGATTTCTTCTGAACACCTTATTGTAGATGATACAACCTGTCTTGAATCACCCCAATGAACCCGTCATGTATCGTGCATTGATGATAGATGCCAACTAAGTGTCGGACCCACCACCGTGACTATGACATTATTTTATGAAAATTTTGACAGAGTTCCCTCTGAAATATGGGCTAAAATCACTTGATCAAAACTCAATTTTCTCAAATCAATACATATAATATAAAACAGGGTACACCAGTCTCTCATAATACCAACTATTCAAAATAATGTGTACAAGAATGAAATTTACACTTCTGAACAAGCTAAAAGACTCTAAAAGCCCAACATAATCAAAAGATACCAAATATGCAATTAGCCCTTGATATGGATACAATTTCTGATAAAAATGCATGTATCCTAAAAATTTTATCTGTTTAAACTACAAAATAAGTCATACAACTGATGACAATGCGTGGCTCAACACAGGAGATCAACAGACTCCAATGCTGCTCAACTCAGCTACTATCTAATAAGAAAAGTAGTGATAAAATATATGAACTATTAACTCAGTGAGTAGATATTTGCAAATAAGTATACCTTTTCCGTTCATGTATATTTTCTAAAAATTCTTATTCTCTTAAAATTTTGGGAAATTCTGAAATTTGATAACTTTTTTTGAAATTGAAACATGATTGCATTGTAAAATTCTTTATTCTAGATAAGTACCTGTAAAATATAATGAATAATAATAATCTAATATCTATGAAACATTATTGTTGTTTGATACTATGAGCTGGAAGCTTTATTCTAAAGACTGAATAAACTAAATTATATAATCTGAAATCTGATAAGCTTTATAAATACTGAAAAATAACACCAAAAAGGTAACCTGAATAACCATACTCATGTACCTGTTAATCTCGAAGTACATGGCAAGCTTATTCAATTATGAAATTCTGGAATTTTGAAATTCTGGTCATACCCCCGCAGAGCTACCCGAAAGCTATAATCTTGTTGTACACTATAGAAACATATTCACAACAGTGCAGAGTGGGTAAAATCTTCATAACTAATTATACACCGTTGAAACACATTTACACCAGTGTAGAGTGGGTAAAATAACCATATAGAGTCATAACTGTGAAAACACATTCGCATAAGTGCAGACTAAGGTAAAATCATCTGGGTACTTTCTGGCGGTTTTAAAAATACAATAGATGTGCTGAAATATTTAAGATGCATATAACATGCTAACTAAAATGATTTAACTAAACTAAATTTAACTTTAAAAACAACTGATTATAAATTCACTTTATTCTGAAAATCATGCTGTCAAATCAATTGTATGAAATAATAAATTTTCTGATCTAATATAAATTTAATAAATACTAATTTCTGAAAAATAAATTTTTATCTACTGACCAAGTTGTAGATTGATCGGGACTTCAATCTTCTAGACGCCTCCTCACATTCAAATACCAAGCATGACATTTCACACTCGTTCCAAGAAATCATATCTCATCACTAATGTGCTTTAAACATCTTTCCTACCATTGGAATGATAATTTACTAATAAGAACTTGGAGTTTTTTATTTTCAATATAATATCATAATCCCAATTGGGCTTACTAATAACATATCCACCTTTATATAAGTTATTTCAATATTTAATCCCCAATATTCAATATTTAATTTGGTTCTCATACTAAAAATCCAAGAAAATCAAAAGATTAACAAAATTGGCCCTGTATTTCCAGAATATAGAAAGCTGATTCCAATTTTTGAATATTGAAAACTATCATCAAAACCATTGACAGAAATAACACTTTCTGGGCAGAATTTCAAAATAGCACCTGTGCATTACCTTGCTTGAAACTAGCCTAAAAATTTCTAAATAATAGAGAAATTAAACCCCAAATCCTCAATCAAGTGATTGATATCATGTAACTACAACAATTTTAAAAAATGAAGCTATAATTTACAAACCCTTTTCATATTCTTTGATTTCAACATAAATCTTCCAATAAACATTTCCTTTTGCAATAATATTTTTAAATACCTCAAATACATCTTAATAACCTTTAATTATTGCTAACATTCAACATATAAAATTGTTCACAATGTCTA